TTATTAGGGGCACTATGCGGCCAAAATTTTAGCGACAAGAGGAGAAAGCTGGAACCAACGTCCCCTTCGTCAAGACCAGTCTAAGAAGATGTAGGTTCCAAGAGACGCGGGGAGGTGAGAAGGCTGGAGGGGAACGTTCAGGCCTCAGGGAGTTAAAAGCGGCCGGTGCAGCGTCCTCATGCTTTTTCTTTCGGTTCCCCAAGACCTTCCGCGCCTGAAACTGCCGGCTCCACGGCCCGGGCGCGCCGAGCGGGGCGGGAGGCGGCGTTGCCAGAGCCCGCGGGCGGGCGGGCCGGCGGGCGGGCGGCGGAGAGCAAAGCGTTGTTGGTTAATTAACTTTAAGCCTGGGGTCGCTTCTCCCTCCTCCCCCGACAAAAATGTGGATCTCGCTGGGACACAAATAAAACCAAATTAAACACTCCGGGAGAATATGCACCACTGGAAACGTAGTAATTACACCTCCGAGGCGATCCCGCCCTAGAAAGCCGGGCGCTGCAACCCTCGGCTTCGCGCTCACTGCGCCTCCCCCACCTCGTCCACACCCCCCCCCCACCCCGGGGTGCACACACTGGGCGGCGGCGGCGCTGGAAAACGGACGAAGTTTACAGAAAATCAAGACCAGTGAACAGGAGTGTGGCTCCCGGTCTGTAGATGCGCTGCATTAGACTAAAGGAAGATGGGAAATGGCCCGGCAGCCCTGGTCGGTGGGAAAGCCGAGTTCTGCTCTGGGCTCTTTTTACAAAGGGACCTTTGCAAGGGCGAGGCTCCCGAGCCACTCTGCCCTCAGCTTCCTCTGGGGACTGAGTCCCAGCTAGGTTCAACTCTGAAACTCTTTTTCTCAAAGGCGATATTCTTTGTGCCTCCTCCCTGGACGTGTGTGACGTATGTGACGTTAGGGACAGTGCAGGGTGCATGCACTGTTCCGCACATGCCCTTGTAGGCACAGCCCAAACGTGTTTATAAAGATGCCCAGCCCTCTGCCGAAATCCTCTATTGCGAGTAAAGACCTCTTCGGATCTAGCCATCTCTCTGTGTACGCACTTAATTTACATGCTCATTTCTACTTAGACATCCCAAAGGAAAATGCCAGGAAAAGGAGGAGGCCGATGCCCGTGTCTTTCTGAAGCTGATGGGTGGGATTCCTGGCCCACTGTATTAAAGTCAGAGCCGGAGGTGGCAGTTCATGGCATTGGCAGCAAGAGGGTGCAGGACTGAGGCAGACACGTGGGTGTAGCTTGCGTGCCAGGCAGGCTAGGGAGAAGGATGAGAGAAATGAGCGCGGTGTGCCTCTTATTCAATACCCAGATTGTCTTCTCTGGAAATTAAGCATTAGTTGATTTCTTCCTTCTTCTGTTTCCTCCATATTCCAGAGAAAAAAGAGCTTGAAGCTCTGAAGCTCCTGCCCACCCCCCTTTTTATGGGAGAAAGTCCCGTTATAAAAAGAGGAGGTGGGTTGAGGCTGCAGGAAAACAAAGAGCTTCACCACCATGGGGTCTGGATTCTGGCCCCCGGACTTGGGGCTTTGGTGGGTGGGCAGGGATTTGGGGGGTCCATTTCCTGTCCAGGGTCCAGGCAGCATGATAGAAGAGGAAATTTATGGAGGAGAAGGCACATCAGGCTTGAACTATCCAGGAAAGAAAGGAATTTTTAAGCTGGAGGGGCCACTTATAGGAATGGGTTAGGGGTCCAAGGAAAGCGCCCCGAGAGGAGAGTGTGTCTGAGTTCGGAAGAGCCTTCCACACAGTCGGAGAAAATTCCTGGTGAGTTGCAAAGGGTGGTGTTGTTGGGGAAGGAAAAAAAAGTGGCTGATCCTGGCTGGGGCTCCCTGGCCCTGCCAAGCCCTCTCCTGGCTGCTGTCCCTCCACCTCTGTGGGCTCTGGAAGGTTGCGCGGCCCAAGGAGCAGGCAGACGCAGATGCCACCTCCCAGGTCCTGGGTCCCTCTGGAACCTGCTCTACTTTAATGTCTCCACACCCACAGCCTGGCCTCAGAGAAGAGCTACCCAGGCCTCTCCTCCCAGTCTGCGAACTCGCCTCCTGACCAGCAGCTGCCATCCTGTCCTCTTCCACATTTATTGTTTTCCCTCCCTGGGCCCCCAGTTTGGGGGAAAATGGGGCCAGGATGGCTGAGACAGCACCTTTCTCCTAGTTTCAGTGTTTTCTGCTCTCAAACCCAAACTTGCCTTCCTCCAGGCCTATTCACTCCCCTCTTTCAGACAGCAAAGAAATCCACTCCCTTCTGCTGCCCACTCAGGGCTTACAGTTTGGGGACCCACACCAAACTGTCCTTTTTGGTTCTGCGGGAACCTACATAGGGGTCCTGGTTTAGGCTGTTATCACCAGTTTTTTTCTTGGATTCTCCTCCGGCTGCTCCTAATCATCAGACCCTGCCTGGTGATACACTGGGTTTGGGCAGGGCGATCAGGTGACCCCTTCCATGGGGAACTCTCAGGAAACCTCCAGTGACCTCCAGGGTCCCTACTCCAACCTTCTTTCTTCCGCTGCTTCCCAGCCCCTGCCAAGCTCATCACAGAGCCCCTTCCCAACCCTCCTCATCCTCTCCTTCCCCAGGCCATCTCTTTTTTAACCCTCATCCCTCCTGCTCCCTTTTCTTTTTTGGCAGCATCTCAGCCAGTCAATTGCC